TCTTATAACTTTATCACCTTTAGGCCTATTAAAAAAAGGACTATATTTTTGAAATCCTCTTAAAAAACAAATTATCATATTTTAAAATAAAGAAAAAATATGAAGGTTTAGGAAGTATCTAATATATGAGATTTGCCCTATAGATAGAGAGAGTTAATAGATTATTGAATAAATCTTTAGAAAGTTTTTGTTACGACACTAGCCACCTAGTGGTCTCATCAGGCAGAACAGTTGGCGGAGGACTTCTAAACATAAAGCAGCAGAAGTATGAGGCTGACTCAGAAGGTCACATGATATTATAGCTAGGGCTATGCAGATATCATAGCTAGGGCTATGTGGATATTATAGCTAGGGCTATACGGATATCATAGCTAGGGCTATGCGGATATCATAGCCAGGGCTATGATAGAAGGACTATATAAGGACGCTCATTTCCCAGTGTATTTAGTTCTTTATAATTCTTACTATAACATTAACAATATCAATTACTTGAGTACCAGTCAATTCAAACAGACTCATCGACTTATTCCTATATATAGGAATAAGGACCTTGCTTCCCTTTCACTTAATTCACCCTACTCAGCAGTTAAAGGACTAAATATAGTTAGAGACTATGGTCCACCTAGGTGAAGTATACCTAAAGGACTATAGTATAGCTAAAAGACTAGGTCACTGATCTTGTTTGAGCTGATCAGTGAGACGCCGGGATCCTAGGGTTAGTAACAGTTTTTAGGCTAACTATTTCTTTATTTAATTAATTAAGTGTAAGTAGTGACCTTACACTACTTAAGGGGTTAATAAGTAGTATATTAAGATAACTAGATAATAGTAAGGTTTAAGGATATAAGAAGTTTATAGTAAATTTAATAAAAGAATAAAATAAAGTACTTAAGGTTTTATTATTTATTTAAGGGAGTAGTATATATCTTAACTTTAAGTAGAATACTTAATAAGTACTTAATTAATACTTAATATTAATTAATAATTATAAAAGATATTTAATTAAATAAGTTATAAAATAGTCTTAATATTAGTCTTATAATTATTCCCCCTCTTTAAGAGGCTTAGCCTTAAGCTATTATAAAAATAAATAAAAAATAATTATTCTTATAAATAGACTTTAATTAAATATAATATAAATATAATATTAAATATAAAAGTTTATTAATAAAGAGATAAAGAGTATAAGTAAAAGTTAAATATATTAAAAAAAGATATTCTTAAGGGTTAAATAAATAAAATAAGGTTTATATTTATTAAGTATTAAAGTATAAATATTATTATCTTATATAATTTAATTTTTATTCTTTAGCTTCTTAATAAGGTTCTTTAATATATATAGCCTCTTTTTCTTAATAATAATAAAATACTAGAAGTTAATTAAATAAAATAAATTTAATTTTTTTTTATTTATATCTTAATAAGCTATTTTAATAATTATTTACTTATTTTATTAATTTTTTAATAATATATAATAATAATTTATAAAATAAGTACTTACTTCTTATTAACTTACTATTTTTTAATAATTTTAATATATAATAATTATTAATAATAATAAGATAATATCTTATTCTACCCTTTATTTTATTTCCTTAACTTTAGTATTATATTTATTTAATAATAATTTAAAAAAGATATATAATATCTTTTTAATTTATTTAACTTAAGAGACTATTTTTTTAATAATAAAATTCTTAAGAAGATATTCTTTATTTATTATATTTAATTTTTTAATAATTTATTTAAGTCTACTTATAGTAACTATTTTATCTTTAATTTAAAGTTAGTTAAGTTTAAGATTATAAAAATTACTTAAGATATAAATATATATATAGCTATCCTTATTTAAGGAGGTATATTTAATATTCTTAATTAATTAATATATATATTATATTAATACTATAGATATAAAATACTTTATTTAGTATATTTATTTTATATTAATAAGTATTTAGTATCTTTATTATATTATAAGTAATATTACTTATATAATAAATTATATTTAAGATGATATCTTTAATTAAAAAGTATAATATCTTTATAAAGTCTTTACTATACTTAATATTTTTAATATAATTATAATAGTTACCTTTTAATTAAATATCTATACTTAAAAGACTAATATAGATACTTATTAATATTAACTTTAATTAATAATAGTAGTAAGTTAGCCTTTTATTATTAATATAATCTTAATAACTTTTATTTTAATAATATTTATATTCTTATCTTAATTATTTTTAATTATTTTATAAGATATTATAGTAGTGGCTTAAGAGCTTATAATAATTATAAATAAAATAAAGAATTTACTAGATAATAAATTATAAATAAGAAGATATAGACTTAATATTTTCTTAATATAAATAATTATTATTTTTATAATAATAATTCTTTAAATTATAAATAATTTTATTAAGATATTATTAATAAACCTTTAAATCTATAAAAAAAGAGAGAAAGATTTATATTAATAAATAGATAAATTCTTATTTACTTAATATTTATAATACTTAAAGAAAACTTAATAAGAAAAAACTTTAGGTTTATTTAAGATATCCTTAATAAAATATAGACTTTAAGAAAGAGTTCTTTTTTAAGAAGTTTTTTAATACTTCTTAAATATTCTTTAGATCCTCTTTAGACTATTAAGATATTTTATATAATAAGTATTCTTTTTATATAACTAAATATTATATCTCTTTATTCTTATTAATTTAATAATTTAAGATTTTATTTACTTTTTACTTCTTTTTATCTTCTACTTTAATTAGCTATAGTAGGGGCTTATTATAACTATTATACTAATAATATAACTTTAATTTAAATATATAGAAGATAGAGTAAATCTTTCTATAAGTCTTAAATAAGTATAAGTAGTATATTTACTTACTTATTATTATTACTAACCCTAGGATCCTGATATATCACTAAACAGCTTAAATAAGATTAGTAATCTAGTCTTTTAGCTATACTATAGTCCTTTAGGTATACTTTACTTAAGTAGATTATAATCCTTAACTATATTTAGTCCTTTAACTACTAAGTAGAGATTAATTAAGTAAAAAAGAAGTAAGGTCCTTATCTCTATATATAAAAATAAGTTAATAAGTCTATTTAAATTAATTAGTACTTAAGTAATTAATATTCTTAAGAATTATAAAGAATTAAATATATTAAGAAATAAGTATTTTTATATAATCTTTTCTTAATATATCCTTAACTCTACTATAGTATATCTATAGCTTTATTATAATATATCTATAGCTCTACTATAGTATATCTATAGCTCTACTATAATTATATAACTCCTAAGTTAGCCTTATGCTTCTATAACCTATGTTTAGAAGTTCTTTACTAACCATTCTGCCTAATAAGACCACTAGGTGGCTAGTGTTATAATATATAGCCTTTAATAGTACTATAATAATATTTTTTTTTAAAAAAAAGTATTATATTAATATAATTAATATATAGCTAATATTCTTTATTTATATCCTAAAGATATATTAATATAAATCTTAAAATAGTTATTAAGTACTCCTTAAGTACTTAATAAGTAGTTAAGTATTTATTTATAGGGAAAAAGTGCCTTTTAAATACTAATATATATATAAATAATAATTTATAGTAAGATTAATATTTTAAAAAAAAGGCTTTCTTTAAATAATATAAATTAAAATATATTAATAAATTATAATAATAAGTACTTAAGAAGTACTTAAGAAGTACTTAAAAGCTACTTATCTATAAATATTTTATTTTCTCTTATTATTCTTTAATAAATTAATATTTTATTATATATATTAAATTTTAGACTAAGTATCCTCTATAAACTAAGTATAATATAATATATAAAGACTTAGCTTTAAGTATTTATAAACTAAGATATTAATATAAGTCTAATACTATTATTTTATAGTATAGTTTAAAAAGGAATATTATATTCTTTTTATACTATATTTACTAAATTAATAGTATTAAATCTAAAATAATTAGTAAATAATTAGAAATTACTTAATAAGTAGTTAATAAGTATTTATTAAATAGTTTTAAAGTAATTAATTATCTTATCTTATATATATTCTTTTTAAAACTATTATAATAGTTTATATTTTTAAAAATATTTAATAAGCTTTAGTTTTCTATCTTAAAAAAGTAAAGTACTTAATAAGTAGTTAAGAAGTAGTTAAAGATATTATTCTTATTATATTTTTATAATCTTTAAAGATTATAAAGGAAATTAAAATTTAACTAAAATATAACTATATTTAAATAGTTAAGGTGCCCCACCCCGTTGCTAAGCTATTCCTAAATAGGTTAGAGGGGCGCCACACTAATTTTATAGGGCACCTAACCTATAAAATTAAGGCTAGTACTAACGCCACCCTACAACCCATCTGACTAAGCATACCCCGCGGCTGGAAGTCGACATTAGGTATTTATTAGGCACCTGTTGAGTACCCCACTTAGAAGTCAGGATATATATCACCTCCCTAGATAGATAATAGAACCTTAAGCACTTTATCTTATTCTCTTATTAGACCTACTATAGACTCCTTATATCCCTAGCCCTTACTGTAAGCTGGTCGTACCAATATTTTGCCTACTTAATCCCCAAGCAGTGTGAGGTCACTGCTTACAGCAGCCTTCAGGATTTGACAGACAGCCTTCAGCATTTTATAGATAGCTAAAATAGGTATATTTAGTTCTAATTAACAAAAATATCGGCCCAAGAGACTATCAAGCTATAATACTAATTTAATAGGAAAATAGGGATAGTAGTATATTATATTCTATGATTCAGCGGGGGTATTATTCTAAAATAAAATAAAAATATAAAGATTAAGTAAGTATATAAAGTAGAAGATTTCCCCTATAGAATAAATAATTAGGATATTAATAGAAAAGAGGTAATAAATAGTTAAGTGAATAATATAGAGAAAAACTATATATCTATTACAGTCAATAAATAGTGGTAACTTATATAGTCATTATTAATCAATACAGAAGGACGGCAGTGGTGCCTCACGCTCCTCAAACACATCCACATCAATATGCCACCTCTCTGCCTCATAGCACTGGAAGCAAACCTTCTCGGGACCAAAGACCCCGATGCTGTGACCTTGGCCCTGCTGGGACAGAATGCTTACGGCTGCGAGACGGGCCGCCCAGTTCCCATATGCACGGACGATCCCCGAACCCTCGGGGGCATCCAACAGCTCATCCCAGTTGTCCACAGAGAAATAATCACCATGAGGCAGGTCGGTGCTAGTGCGGAGATGGTCTTGGTGCGGGGAGGCCGGCCCATGTCCCTGACAAGTGGTCGTGGTAATGCGGGAAAGGCCCTCAAAATCAATGCCGCGGATATCAAGGTCGGCCACCCATCGCCCGCGGTCGAGAACAGAGATCACCGATTCCACCACCATCACATCCTGGTCGATGGTCCGCTCTTCCTCGGCATACAGAGGAAAGGTCCACTCGGTGAACGAGAGATGCAGCGAGGTGCTCCGGAAATTGTCCTCCCGACGGAAGTCATACGGAGCGTGGGAGATGATGTTGAACGAGTCGGTGGGCTTGCGGATTTTGGGGTCCTGAGGGGCCACGAGGATGCTGATCCCGGGCCGTCCGATGTTGCCCACGATCCGTCGTATGAGGTGTGGAACGGGCCGGTCGAACGGATCGGAGAGAACCACTGCGGCTACGAAGATTGAGTCCCCAGAAGCTAGAGCGAGCGCCGGTTGCAAGTCGGCTGGGTCTACATCGCTGGCTCCGCTCTCGAACCGCGCGATGCAGGAGAAGGTCTGGGGTAGATCCAGGGGCTGTGGCCGGGCAGGAATAACGACAGGTTCGTTGTAGTTGAACCGGACGTCAGTGCCGCTGAGGTCCTTGACCTGGCACTCCAGGCAAAAGGGGGTTGGTAGCCACAGACATTCATACAGGGGCTTGTTAACGATTTTGAGCGGGATCGTCGCTCCTTCGAGGTTCTTATACACATCCGCTGCCAGGCTGAAAGCAAACAACGATTTGCAGAGATTCTCTGGGAACGCACACGAGGATGTTGAAAACCCTACCCCGTGAGCGGGGCGCTCATATTGAAACTTAAAGGTATCCCGAGATGAGCTTGGTTGCTTTCGAGTCCCTTTATCGATTAGAGTAGCAAAATAATTGGCAAGGAGAACAGGCGAGGGAGTAGCCTGAGCATAGTTCTGCAATGCCACTCTGGGGCTAGGGCTTTGAGTCGCTAAAGCGTTTGCCTTGAGCTGCACCTGTCTCAGTTCGTTTTCTTCCAGAGTCTCGGTGTACAGCCCCAGTTGCCGATTTCCAAACACTAGATGATAAGAGCACGGTAATGTTTGCCCCTCGCGCCCAAAAGGAGCCGGAGGGTCCGGCCAGGTGAAACTTTCATTGAGCCCAGTTGAAAATTTGGTGATGAGTGAGGAGAATTGCTCGCCTGCGGCCGCGCAGGTCTGTGACATCATACCTTCGAAAGCAAGAAAATCTGCTGAATGATGGGGCGTGCTGCTAATAAAGACCGAAGGTTACGTTCAATATACTATAACCAAAATATAAGAAACAGAGGGACACTACCTACCTTGCCAATAACCATCGGGCATGCGTAGGGTGGCTCAAAACTTCGCCATCCGGCCCCCGCTTTCGGGACTCCCGCATGCATGGGAAAGCTGTTGCGATTCCGACATGACGAGCAGGACTCGACCCGTCATTGGATCTTCCCTTGGCGAGAGTGTAGCATACAAATGTAGAAGCGTCTCTTAGGCCTAGCTCCTTAGCCATAGAGCGAAGATACTCAATTCCACAGTCCCCGTCCGTTCGCTGGGATAGACCTCGGCTTGTGAGCGAATTTCCTAGGCCAAAGAAAGGGGCTAAGACTGAGTTGGAGCCTTCAACCAGGAACGACTTCGCTCTCCTCTGGCCATACTGAACTAGCTGCGAGTTTTTCTCTCTTTCCCGATCATCAGTACTCAGCAGGGCTTGCGCCGCTTCGACGAGATGCTCCATCCAAGGGAGATTATCTCTCCCGTTCGGGATAGTGCCCAAGAGCGACCAGATGTCCAGGAACCACTGCGCGATGGGCGGATGATCTCGAACGCTGACACGCCATGAACTGAGAAGACCCCCTAGCACGACCAGCTTCAGCTCTTGGAATGTCACTCGGGTGAAGTCACGATCATTACGGGCCAGAACGGGATCTCCGTAGAACTTGAGATGGGAGAAAGCCAAGGACCATTGTAACCCGCCGGAAGGGCTTCTTGCTGAAGCAGTTCCAGCGCCAATTGTTGCCTTGCCCCCTTGTGGGAATAGCTTGTCGCGGAAACAGACATTCTTCGCCTCCTGTCCGAGGACAATCAGGTCTGGAAACAAGTGCCATGAGGAGAAAGCAAGAAGTAAAGTGCCATCGTTGACCAGCAAGGGCGTCCCTGACAGAAGTGCCTCCACGCCTTGCATGGCCTGCTTCCACACATGTAAGATGTTTGCATACGTCTTTGAGTGGGACGGTAATGGAAGGTTGATATTGCGCTGAATCAGACTCAACTGCGTGACCTCAAAGGCTTTTGCTTTATCCGCACTCCGTAACCACGACCGTGCACTGTTATCCCATTGAGCCAGGTCATATCGCGAGATGCGCTGGCGGGCGCTGGAGAGGGCCTTGTGCGAAACCACGCTCATCTCCTCGAATGCTTTTTCAATCTCGCGTTTCCGCTGGTCCACCAGCTCGACCCAGAGCGCGGTTGCATGCTTGGCGTCCCAAGTTCGTGCCAGAAGGCATGCCAGGAGACAGATGCCAATCGATGCGAATCCGGACGTCGCCGCCGCCCAGAGTGCCGTTCCATCAGCGCCCACGTATTTCTCAAATGGACCGTGCAGAGTTGAGCCCTGGGGGCTAATTCCGGGGGTTTCCACCACCTCGGAGATGCGGGTTCCGAAGGTCTTCACCAGCAGGGGAGTCGGGGGGATGAGTTCCTCAAAAAGAGCCCCCAGCCTATGCGCCGTCACGTGCATAGGCCCCTCTTCAGCATCTCTTTTGCGGTCGGCTGATAACAGCGAGCCCAGGCGCTGATACTCCGGGGGCGCCTCAAACTTGCAGAGTGTGAAGTCAAATTTCAAAGATGCGAGCTGAAGGTTGTTCTCGTTTGTGGCAGAAAGCAGAGAATTTGCGATGCCGTTTATACCCGACATACTTATCCTTCCCCGCAGGTAGCTGGGTTTGTCGAGGCAAATATTGCATCCAGAACCTTCTAAAGAGAAAGGGCAGGTATCCCGATTTATTTCATTGAGAAAGAAACAAATGCTGCAGCCTAAGCACTGATGTAAGGCTGGTCTAGCTTTCCCAAAAAAATTACAAGTGAGTGGACAGTGGATTTAAATAGTGATAGAAAGAACTACCTCCTAAGCACAAACACAGGCGGTTGGGGCGGTAAACTCCCTATAGTTAATCAGGAACTGGAGACCCTGTCAGCTGGTCATCTAACCCAGTAGGCTGCTAGCAGATAGGCTGTGATAGCTACTTATAAGATGATAGGAGGTAGCAATGGCCAGGATGCGCTGTATATAAGATACAGAGTTTTAGTGGAGAGAGGGACTTATATATTATGTGGGGTCAGAAAGAGGGGCGCAGAGCAGTTACACATCACTAACCCAGCCTTATGTAGGTTTACTATATTTATGTTTTACTCTATAGGCTCTTAATCTATCTAAGTAGACTATTAATATTGAGCCGCAGGCAGTGGGCAGCATAGCTATTATTATAGAAAAGGATAATCTTAGGACTGTCAATTAGGATAATTCATATATTTACACTAACTATCACCTAACTAGTTAATGTACAGTACTACGTCATAAGTTTCCGTACCCCCCCCCACTAAACCAAATATATATAATTTGTTATATATATTCAAAATGCCACCACAACATCCATTTTGAATAATATTTATTAAAAATTTAATATAACATAGTTAAATACTAGAGGTACTGAAATCTATCAAAAAAACAGGTCTAATACTTGGTATACTAACGATTAGCCTCAATAACAGCCTCAACACGCCACGGCATCAAAGAAATCAATGTCACAGCTTGACGCCGAGAGACCTGGTGAAGATAGTTGTATTATACTAAGTCTAGGGCGGCATTAGTGTCAGCCTTATAGAAATCCTCTTAAAAAACAAATTATCATATTTTAAAATAGAGAAAAGATATGAAGGTTTAGTAAGTATCTAAAGTATGAGATTTGCCTTATAGAATATTGATCTGCAATGTGATATAGATATATATGCATGTATATTAATGTTTCAATCTGGCCGTGGCGCATTGAGTGAATACGCACATATAGACCTAGCAGGTCAAAAAAGCCGAGTCTCGACTTTTGACTCTTCTAGTTCCTACCTAATAAATTCCGATAAAGAAGTTAGATCGCGGGATTAGACTGGTTGAAACTTTAATAATGAAGGATCACTTTTACGACAGAAAGGAAACAGAAAGGCGTAGGGAACTTTTGACTATATTAAGATGCTTAAATAGCTAGAAGGAAAGGAGGAAAGAAGGCAAAATAAATGCGGGCGGGGATGGGAACTCGGGAGCCGGGACGACCCGCCCAGTCACACGGATGCACTATGTTTGATGTCTGACACCATCGGCGCCCATGAGATATGAGAATTCCTTGGCAGAAATTAGTGCTTCGGACAAGGTCGACGTGGCCGTCCATTTGGTTAGGCTCCAGATTCTCATGGACTGCTGGAGCGTCCTAATGGGGCTTAGTGTGTCTCTTGTGGTTCATGCATTGCCTTTACAGCGGCGATCTAAAAGAGATATCATGCTCATGATCATCCTGACTGGTTGGGATTTGGCCATTATAGGAGGCGCTATATGTGATATATATATATTAATGTATAATCATGTACTTTTGATAATCCAATGACTTATCAGCTTCGCCGCGTTATATATTTAAAGTCTACATATATTTTGGAGCCGGTTATGCTATTAGGCAGCTCAAGATTTCCGCCAGAGGATTTCTTATAAATAGATAGTTAAGATTAAGAAAGGTGCCGCCCAACATTCATCCTCTCTTCTAAGGTTTTATTATCTCTACTGTACTCTCCTGCACTTCATTAATCTAAGAGCGTTGGAGACTAAGCTCCTTTTCTGACTAAGTCGTTTAGCGATGGACTCACCAGACCCCACTAAAGCGGGCTAAAATAAATGTGGAGACCAGAATAATTCAGCCGCATTCCTATCTTTAAAAGATTACTTGGGGGACATGGTGGCTGATGATGGTTTAAGAAATCATGTAAGTAACCAGCTTTTATATTCATCCTTTATAAACTGGATTATCTCATACTAGTATCTATATCAGATAAAAGAGCTCAATCAGAAGAAGGTTGAATGAAAAACATATAAGCCAGGGGAAAATGAGCTTATTAAGTATTAGCCCCAGGAAGCCGATTACACTTCCCTCAAGACTAAGGCTACTTGCCTATCCTTTGGTGACGGCAAAACTAAAGCGACACTAACTTAATCAGGTTAGCAAATTTAAATCAGTCGCTTCCTAGGTCATGGACTGTCAAGTATCTATTTAATTGACCTTAAGGGAGCCCCCGAGCCAAACATGCGTAAGCAGAGAAATAAGTTTTTATTTAACATGGCTGAGAACTGTCGTGGATTTGGCCCAGATCTCTACTTTCTGGCTGACGATTGGAAGAGGAGAGTCACTTGGCTTTAAAATAGATAGCCATAAGTGGAATTTGACACACCTGGCAGTGACTGGCGCTTGACTCAACAATATATAGTTTAAGATAATGTCATGATACAGCAGATGCTGTATGAAAACTTTACTAAAGAAGAAAAAAAGGTCTTTTATGTCAATAATCTTAATATTTTGATTTAGGAACTGGATTTTGCTTCTGAAAATCACAGTTTCAACATGGCTTTAAACAAGAATCACACCTAAGGTGAAGGGCCAGGTGGATATGGCTTCGTGAAGCTATACTAATTATCAGAGGAGAAGGGGCATAGGGCGAGTGATGCCTCAGCATCTTTAAGCCCTAGGAGGGTGTCAAAAGATATAAGGCCTAATGCCGTTGTAGTAGTGATTGGCGTCTTTAAGAATAAGAAGGCATTGCAACTGTCAGAACTTTTTAGAGATTATAAGATTATTATTAAGCCAAAAGACACTTATTTACTCGTTGTTAGATATAAGCTAGTATTACTTTTTAAGGAAAAGAAAAGCTGGAGACTATTATCATTGGCGCCAAGTGATGTGGATATTAATAGATTCTTATAGGAACATCATGATGAGCTTTTAGCTTCAATGGATCTTTTAAAGGAGACATATTCTCTTAGGAAAAGCTTCTATATAATATAAAATATAGAGCATATCCTATCTGTCTGTGCTTTCCCAATCATAGACGACCCTGTCTGGGACTATAATGATAGCTCAGATCGAAAAGCGACCGCAGACACAAAATCGCCAGTCATAGCTCTTATATGCGGCGAGATGGTAGGTCACTAAATCTCCTCACTAGCCAGCTAGTAAGTCCAGGGCTCTCCACTGCAAAAGACAGCCCACTGATGCTCACAATATCTAGCTTTACTTTCATATTTCTATTAGAAGTATCTTGTGACTTGGAGCTTGATCATCCCTTGAGGGCTATAATATGGCAGATATGCCTTGGGCACCTTCAATGAGTATTTAAGCTGGCCGGTTAGAAGGAGGAAGGAAAAGTCATAAAGTATTACTAGGTGACTAGAGATCTTATTACTAGGAAAAACTGGTTCCTACCTAATGATCTGATAGATACCCCCTTATATATTCTTAAAGCATCTAAGCTTCATGACTATTAGAAATCACCTGAATGATTGTGTATTAAAAAGCCACAGCTAATAAAAGCGGATTAGAGCACTACAGGAGCTGCTGCCGAGGAAGTTTTAATAGACAAAACGCCGGAGACTATATTAAAGGCACTCCATTTATTAATGCCCGCAAATTTAGCCAATCCGCTGAATATACCACCACACGACATTGAGGAGATGGATGGATTCCTTAGTTAAGAAAATGGCGATGTCGCAATGAAATGGTTAAGAGTCATGGATACCGCCAAAAATCGCAACTCCTTTACGTGGCCTCATATGCGTGAAGATGGAACCAACTCTTTCCGACTAAGCGATCACGTATGGATATGGAGTTCCATTAAAGCAATTTCCATTCTCCTCAATTGGGAAAAAATGATAAAAGACGACCGCAAGGACAGAACCAAACGAAAAGGTTCATTGGAGGATCCAGCTTCATTCTCAACTCAAAGGATCCCGCTGATGCACAAGTATTCGCCTGATCTTGTTAAGAAAGAAATAATCCGGCGGTTCACCACAATATACGAGTCTTCTAACGAATCTAAGGAGCGAATGCTTTCAAGTACGAGGTCTCCGAGAGAGACGCGATTTGAATTCCACGATTCTGACACAGTATTATTCTATCCCCTTGTGGCAGGACAGAAGATGCTCGAGCCCAAACAGAAGCTTTGGTCAAGACTGATTCAAATTCAAAAACGCTTCCTTTCAGCTCAAGAAGTAGACCATGATAACCCACTGCGTTATGGACTTGAGATTTTGACGAGACATTTGGGTGTTTCCCATCCTGCATCCAAAACGACGCCCGATTATCCATCGCGCATGCTTTATGAAAGCATGCTCCCAAGCGGCCTATTTCCAGAGCAGATTACGAACTCTTGGGGAGTAAAAAGCAATATCGATCATCAAGATCATCTGTTACATGTTCCATTTGAGATTGCATTTCTGCTTTACACCACCACACACCGAATGGGGAACCCCGAAGATGTCCAGAATACGTTAAATCCAAGCGATGAAGAAGCTACCACAAACGCGACAATTCTCAATGGAACGATTTCATTCGGCGATCAAATTGATGCAAAAAGTGTCATTGATGGGAGGGATGAATGGCTTTACAACTATCCACCCTTTTTTGATTCATCAAATAAAGTCAAGAACAACTTCCAGCTACTTTGTTTCAGCATATTAAGAAAGGAGATTGATATTGCTCTGGAAAGGTCTGCCAAAGAACATGGCTCGAGAAAGATTGACGCTGAGTCTGAGAGTAAAGAGAACAGCGATCTCATCTATCGGGCATGCTTTACTTATCCGAGAATTGGAAATGACAAAGAGCCCTCAGATGTCAAAGAATTGAAGTTTCCGGCACACGGTCTACCACTGGGCCACAAACATGTTATGATTGACATTGGCAAAAAGCGTCCTGGCGAGCCGAATGCTCGGATTGGAGATAAATTTCTCGATATGGAGGCATCATGGACACGGCTTTGTCGAGTGCGCACTGAAACTGATGCAAAGAAAAGATTCATGTGGTGCCAGAATCCACCACTGGACTATGCGTTGATGTGTTACCTTGCCTCATCAGAAGCTGAACAGACCTCTCTACGCTTGTTTTTTGATCGTCACTCGAAAGGTGTCACTCAATTCGAGGATAGAACAGCTAGAGTCTTCAATACTTGGGAGACCGAATTTCACTGTAGCTTTCTACAGCTTGTGGAACCTCCAAGGCGCAGTGTGATGGAATTTGAAAAGCCTGAAAATCAAAACAACAGCAAGAAAGATGGGAATGCCATGTTTGATCCCCAGATCGAGCGTCTCCCCTTGTTGGATGGTGATCAAATAAACCGAGCGTCTGCTAGTTTCAGGTTCAATGGTGACTTTTTCGATCGCGTCTGGACTTGTCATTATGTTGTCAGCTATCCTGGAGAAACCACGAAGAAAGACACAGATGATAATTCTCAAGGAAAAGACAAAAATCTGAAAGAGTATCTTCCCGTGGAGAAAGAGGAGCTGGAGCGGATCTTTGAGAACCTCAAAGAAAATGCGTGGCAGCAGAGGAAAGTGCTTGAGCAACTTGTATTCCACCTCATTCTCTCCAAAATCAACACTGATACAAACTTGGTCATCGCGAAGATTCGACTGAGGCTCAATTCAATGGCCTTTACAGATCGAGGTGAAAATATCTTCAGTGGAGATCTGAAGCCATATTTCGAGTGTGTGAAGACTTGGGCAGAACTACACGCCATCTTAGAGGTTCTGATCGACAGCCTTGAGTCGATCAGCAATAACGTGCGAGAATGGGGTACCAGAGAACAGGATCGTCGCACTGAAAAGCCACGCTGGTCTAGTAAGGACGAAAGGAAATACCGCGACGCAGTCAATCAAATGTTTTGCGAGTGCCAGAAAGATGAGCGCGGCTTGTTGGCCAGCAAATCTGCAGCTTCATCCCTTCTGAAGGCATTGAATTATCGCAGGGAACAAGCCAAAAACAGTTACGACAGCGAAATGACTGTACGGGGCTTTAACCAAAATGACAACATCAAGTATTTCACATATTCCACGGTGATCTTTCTGCCGCTGGGATTTGCAGCCAGTGTTTACAGTATGCAAGCTGCGCCACCTACAGACGTTCTTCAGCACATGGTCATCTGCTCAATCGTGGCTTTTTTCGTTCTCTTGGTCATCCTTTTTACTTTCCCTTGGTGGCCCAAGGCCTATGACTACTTACAAAAACGCATGAGCCGCTTTTGGGCAGACCTCATGGACCTCTACAATTTTTGGAAGCTCTTCTATTCAGAGGTCCCCTTCACCTTTGCCGACCTGCTCACCCTGCAACTTCTATCAGTCATCATCCTACTCAAAAGCCATCTTGGGAATCGTGTGTCAACAAGCAATCATCAACAGCCGGGACCTGAGATATCAGAGTCGCCTGCCTCGGATTCATCGCTTGACAGCAACACATTGAAGGGGCTGAAGAAAGAGACACGTCAAGCATTGGAGCTCTATAAATCACGGAATGAAGACTGGGCTTCGTCATTGGAAAGAATAAGCAGACCGTTGAAGAACGTGAGGCGTGACTAGCTAAATTAGAAGACTATAGATCCCTCATCTTGGCATTAAGAAGTTGCATGTAAAATGAGCCTGATACCCTCTATAAGCAGTGACCTTATACTAGACATGTTAACCCGGCTCAATGGGCCGGGTTCTGGCCTGAGGCAACCCGCCCTATTGGGTAATAGGTATAAAATTTCCTCACCTATACCCACCCACAGGTTACCCATGGGTATTAGTGGGTACTTAATAGGTACTTAACTTTAGGACCCACCTTCCTAAAAAGGCTAGACTAGTTAGGTTAACCTATAATATAAACTTACCTTACTTATTAAATATTATATATATAATCTTAATATAAGAATTTAATCTAAGTTAAATTTTACTAATTAAAATAATAAGTATATATATTAATATATATATTTATAAGCAGTAACCTTACACTACTTAGGGGGGTTAATAAGTGATATATTAGTATAACTAGATAATAATAAGGTCTAGGGATATAAGAAGTCTATAATAGGTTTAATAAGAGAATAAGATAAAGTGCTTAAGATCTTATTATTTATCTAAAGAGATAATATATATCTTAACTCTTAAATAAGATACTTAATAAATATTTAATTAATATTTAATATTAACTAATAGTTATAAGAGGTGCTTAATTAAGTAAGTTATAAAATAATATTAATATTAGTCTTATAATTATTTCTTCTCTTTAAGAGATTTAGCCTTAAGTTATTATAAGAGTAAATAAAAAATAGCTATTCTTATAAGTAGACTTTAATTAAATATAATATAAATATAGTATTAAATATAAGAGTTTATTAATAAAGAGATAAAGAGTATAAATAAGAGTTAAATATATTAAGAAAGATATTCTTAAGTATTAAGTAAATAAAATAAGATTTATATTTATTAGATACTAAAGTATAAATACTATTACCCTATATAATTTAATTCTTATTTCTTAGCTTCTTAATAAGGTCCCTTAGTATATATAGCCCCTTTTTTTTAATAATAATAAGATATTATGATATTCAAAAGCTAACTGTCTAAAAGAGAAATCTCTATCTATTACTACTATAGGTTAAAGAGGAGGTATTTATATACCTCCCCTTAAGCTATTAGAAGCTAAGTAACCTAGTAGTAATAAAACTCTATAAAATCTATTAATCTATAATATAGAGTAAAAGCTCTATATACTATCTTATAAAGATTAAGAAATCTTTCTATAGGGCAAATCTCATATATTAGATACTTTCTAAACCTTCATATTTTTTCTTTATTTTAAAATATGATAATTTGTTTTTTAAGAGGATTTCAAAAATATATTCCTTTTTTTAATAGGCCTGAAGGTGGTGGAGTTATAAGGGGTTAAAGATATTATAGAAATCTTAATCTAGTTAATATAAAACTCTTATACTAAATCTAATTAAGGTTTTTATAATATCTTTAATATTTTAATAATTAAAGAGGCTATAGATCTTAGTTAAGCTTTTAAAAAAAGCTTATTCTTTATATAGTTATCTATTATTACTCTAAGTTAAATAAGAAATATTAAAGTAGTATAGTTATAGATTAAAATCTTTATTATTTATATATATATATAGCTATATACTATTATAGAGTTTAAGATAAGATAATTCTATTATTTTTAATTTTTATAGTTTCTTTATTAGTTTTTCCTCTACCTCTAGCCTTTATTATTAAATATCTATATCTAAAGAGATATCTATATCTAGATAAATATCTCTATAGGGCAAATCTCATATTTTAGATACTTCCTAAACCTTCATATTTTTTCTTTATTTTGAAATATGATAATTTGTTTTTTAAGAGGATTTCAAAAATATAGTCCTTTTTTTTATAGGCCTAAAGGTGGTGGAGTTATAAGGGGTTAAAGATGTTATAGAAACCTTAATCTAATTAGTATAAAACTCTTATACTAAACCTAATTAAGGTTTTTATAATATCTTTAATATTTTAATAATTAGAGGGGCTATAGACCTTAGCTAAGCTTCTAAAGAAAGCTTATTCTCTATATAGTTATCTATTCTTACTATAGGTTAAATAAGGAATATTAAGGTAGTATAATTATAGGTTAAAATCTCTACTATTTATATATATATATAGCTATATACTATTATGAAGTTTAGGGTGGGATAATTCTATTATTTTTAGTTTTTATAGTTCTTTTATTAGTTTTTCCTCTGCCTCTAGCCTCTATTATTAAATATCTATATCTAGAGGGATGTCTATATCTAGATAGATGTCTATATCTAAATAGATATCTTTATCTAGATATCTATATCTATATAAATATCTATATCTAAATAGATGTCTATATCTAAATAGATGTCTATATCTAAATAAATATCTATATCTAGATAAATATCTATATCTAAATAGATGTCCATGTCTAGATAGACATCTATATCTAGATAGATATCTATATTAAGATAGATATAGATACCTAGATAGATATCTAGATAGATGTCTATATCTAAATAGACATCCATATCTAGATGGATGTCTATATTAATGTCTATATCTAGATAGACATCTATATCTAGATAAACATCTATATCCAGATAAATATCTATATCTAGATAGATGTCCATGTCTAGATAGATGTCTATATCTAGATGAATATCCATGTCTAGATAGATATCTATATTAATATCTATATCTAGATAAACATCCATATCTAGATAAATATTTATATCTAGATAGACATCTATATCTAGATAGACGTCCATGTCTAGATAGACGTCTATATCTAATAGACGTCCATATCTAAATGGACGTCCATATCTAATAGACGTCTATGTCTAAATAGACGTCTATATCTAATAGACGTCTATGTCCAAATAGACGTCCATATCTAATAGACGTCCATATCTAGATAGATATCTATATCTAGATATCTATATCTAGATTTATATCTATATCTAGATTAATATCTAGGTGGATGTCTATATCTAGATAAACTTTTATATCTAGATATATATTATTTATCTATATAGATATTTATATCTATAACGGCCCTAAGCTAATAAATAATTAATTAATAGCTTTAATACTAAAATATTTAAATAAAGAGGGGAAAGAGGAGAGGAGAGAGAGATATATTATAAGATATATCTAATATCTCTCTCTTCTTTCCTATATTAAGCTAAAATAAGAATAGTGGCCCTATTTACTATAGCCTGCCTAAGGCATTTAGATAATCTTATTATTACTATAATATTACTCCCCTATTTAGCCTTTAATTCTTTTATAAATCTATATTTAATACTCTTATACCTATAAGGGCACTATAGCTCTTTTAATACTTTATCTCGCGCCATGGCCTATTACTTATAACTTTACTTTACTTAGCCCCTTCTATTCCTAAAAAGAGTTTATCTTATAATATTTTAAGAATAATAAGGTAGCCACTTTATCTAGATATTATTTATAAAAGGTTATCTATCTACTAATCTCTCTTTTTTTATAGATCTACCCCTTTTTATACTTCTAATTAGTATTTTATTATTACTATCTTCTATTAAGAGTCTTATAATATCTAGATAATACTTAGAGATTATTATTTAGTCTTACTATATTTTTTATTATTAATATAATCTAGTAGTTAGATATTATAATAGAATTATTAGGTAATTAAAGTATTATTTAACTACTATTAATTATATAAGAATTAAAATTAGTTAGTTTAAATATTATATAATGGCCTTAAATAAATAAATAATTAATTAGTGGCTTTAATACTAGAATATTTAAATAAAGAGGGGAAATAAGAGAGAAGAGAGAGAGATATATTATAAGGATATCTCTCTCTTATTTCCTATACTAAATTAAAATAAAAATAATAACCTTATTTATTATAATTTATCTAAGGCATCTAGACGACCTTATTATTACTATAATATAAGTCTTTAATTAAATTAATATTAGTAGCTTTATTATAGGAGATATCCTATATTAGGTTATAATCTATAAGAAAGTCTAGTTCCCTATCTAGTATAGGGCGGCGGCCTAATAGTTATAGTCTATATCTAGATAAACATCCATATCTAGATAGACATCTATGTCTAGATAGACATCTATGTCTAGATAGATATCTATATCTAGATAGATGTCCATATCTAAATAGATATCTATATTAATATCTATATCTAGATAGACATCCATATCCAGATGGATGTCTATATCTAGATAAATATCTATATCTAGATAAATATCTATATCTAGATAGATGTTTATATTAATATCTATATCTAGATAGATATCTATATCTAGATGGACGTCCATATCCAAATAGACGTCCATATCCAGATAGATGTCTATGTCTAGATAGATGTCTATATTAATATCTATATCTAAATAGATGTCTATATCTAGATGGATGTCTATATTAAGATAGATATAAATATCTAGATAGATATCTATATCTAGATGTCTATATCTAGATAGATGTCCATATCTAGATAAATATCTATATCTTAATATATTTATATATCTAGGTGCGCCTAGATATAAAGTATCTATATAATATATAATTCTATATCTAATATAGATAGTTATAAGGATCTTATATATAAATAAGCCCTAAAAAGATGATAAAAGCTATATAGTTAATATAG